AACATCTGGACTAAGAATATAAAAAGCAAGGCCTTAGAGGCCTCCAAGTAGAAAAGTGGGAAAAGGCTTGAGTGAACACAGAAGGGTCTTCACTGGGTGGCAGGGCAGCATCTGAAGTCTTTTGTTTCATGTACCTGGTCCTCACGCTAATAGAAACCAGAGTGCGATTTTCTTTTATTTCTAAAGTGTCACCTTAAGTTTGAGCCATCAGATTGGTTTTCAAGTTCCCACTGTACCCCAGGATTGTGCTGACTCTTCCTGAGAGGGTCAAGGGCATTGTTAAGTGATGCGGCAGTGGTCGGGAGTGCAGCGAAGTCCACCAGGGACAGGAGGTTGTGGAGAAGGCATGCTGCCACAGGCAGGCCTGGGCTGCACAGTATTTAGAAAACAGAGCAGGCGGGATCTCAGTTAGTCCATCTAATGTTACTGCTACAGAATGCCGGAGGCTGGGCATTTATGAAGAAAAGAGGCTTATTTTGCTCACACTTTTGAAGGCCGCAAATTACATAGCTCTGTCTGTTCAGCACCTGGAGAGGCCTGTTTGCCTGGGTCACGACATGGCTGATAGTTTCACAGCCGGGGTGTGTGCATGGGGAGATCAGGGGGAGACTGGAAGTAGCGGCAATTCAGGAGCCAGGCTTGCGTCTTTCTCATGACTCTCTGTAGCAAGGCCTAAGTCACTGTAGGAGGCCAGGGCCTATCGCCCCCAGGACAGCACTGCTGGGCCGTGTTAGAGGTCCCCATTCCTCACATCTCCACATTGAAGTCCAAGCTTCCAACGAACGGACCTTCGGGGGCTGGCCACAGCAGAGCCTTAGGATAGGGCAGCAGGAGAAGAGCATTAGAGAAGCGGGCCCTGCGCCGGCTGAACTGTGCAGTGCTTTGTCCTCCGCTGTCTGCTGTGTCGGCCTCACAACCCTTGCGGGTCAGGGGCCAGCGACCCTGCACCTTGCTTGGCTTGGGAATGTGGTGGTAGAGTCTGCTTCCTTGAAGTGGATGGGGAAATTGCTTTCTCCGGTCTGTTCCAGCTTGTCTATTCAGTATTAATTTGGCACCATGAATCAGAGAAGAATGGCTGTCTTCATCTGTACTGGGGGAAGAACTTGGCAAACACGTCCGATATGGACAGGCAATAATTAAATTGCCATGGATCGTGTCTAATGTAATTGAGACAGAGGACTTGGGAACATGTGCCTCAGACAAAGCCTGTCTTACACAGAGGATTTCCTGAGCCCTGGGCCTTTCTTTCCTGCAGTATGAAATGCAGTATCTTAATTAAAATTAGAAACTATTAAAAGAAAACTAACTAGGACTGGACAAATGGATTGCAGGAAAGAAAAAAAAATGGTCTGTTTTATACCGAGTCATCTAAAGGCAAAATGTTACAGGCTTAATTTTTTTACGTTTTTTTCCCTTCTAGTTTGGAAGATAATGAAATGTCTTATAGCACATTGAACAGGAAAAAGCATAGATTTTACTTTTGCTTCTTAAAAATGGAATCTTTGCCTCATTTTGTGCTTTTCTAAGGACTTGTATATGAAAAAAAAAAAAAAAAACCAATGTAGAAAATGCCCAAAACACAAAATGTAGGTAGTTCTGCAGTGTTTTTCTTTTGCTGGTGTAGGACTAGGAATTGACCCTGGGGCCCTGTACCACTGAGTCCCATTGCCTGCCCTTTTAATTTTTTATTTTGACACAATTTCTCACTAAGTTTCCCAGGCTGCTTTCAAACATGTGGTCCTCCTGCCTCAGCTTCCTGAATAGCTGGGACTATAGGCACATGCCCTCATGCCAGGGATCGAACTCGGGACCTTGTGCTTGGCCAGACAGGCGCTTATGCTACACCCCCAGTTCCACAGTTTTAAACAGGTATTGCTTTCTGTATTTGCTTTATTTGTTTAATTTTGTTTCTCGAGACAGGATCTTATCTTACTCGCCCAGGCTGGCCTTGAACTCGCGAGGATCCTCTTGCTTCAGCCTCCCAAGAGTCGGAATTTCAGGCGTGTGCCCCCACGCCAGGCTGCTTTCCGTGTTTGTAAGCTCCACAGTGTTAAAGCGCGTTGCAGCCACAGGGCCGTGGTGCTTCCTCCATGCCTCTGGGTTCTCGTGACGTCTTAGGGTTGTGTCACGTGAGCTGTCCACAGTCAGGTGCGCCATGCTGCCCCACCCCTGGGCCGAGCCTTCCTGCTTTGTCTGCACTCTTCACGCGGGAGGCTAGTCTCTACTTTGCGCCAGGGCCTGTGTCCCTGGATTGCCATGGAAGAGTGCCACGGAGGCCATGCCACATAGCCGCTGTGTGTGTGTGTGTGTGTGTGTGTGTGTGTGTAAGGGTGGGCATTGTGTGTGCAGCACACTGCTATTAGTTTTTCTGTACTGCTGGAAGTACGTGGCTATAGACTATATCATGACTTTTCCATGTGAGAAAAAAAGCTATTTTAAAGGATACGTAAAGTGGGTGAAATTCTACAGGTTTTCATTTAACATATTTCAAAAGTGATATGCAAAGCATTTTTATTGATCACGTTGAAGTAGCCTCTTACCTATTTGTCTTCAATTTATTTTCTTACTCTTTCTGTAACCTGGAATTATCTTGTGTGTGTAGCTGTATTATACATAACTTTTACTAAACTACCATCTTTCTCCTTCTAGAATATTAGCTCCGCAAGGTCAGGAGCCTTATTTCCAGCACATAGAACATGCTCCAGGCTGCTTATACACACACACACACACAAATATATATATATATGTATATGTATGTACACAAGTATGTACATATATGTATACATATGTACTTAGAGAAATCTATACGTGTATGTCTGTGTACCTATGGAGGTTTGCACATAGGTCTGTGTACACATATATAAAATGAAGTTGTCATTTAGATATAATCAAGGTCATGATGTCTCAGCAGCAGACATTTGACTCTTAAAATGATTGAAGCATCAATCATCGATGATTCATTGGTGGTAAATTAGTTCAACTACAATAAGGTATTAGTAAAGCCCAGAGTAACAGTTCAGTGTCCAAATGATGTAACACTTTTTACACATTTATTTTCACAATATTCCTTACTTCTGAAATTCTGGGTACTTCTGTATTATTAGTTCTTTCCTTGGGTACGTCTTACAGGGCCTTTACCCTGTGTCAGCTGCTGGGGACACCAGGTGCACATCTGCCCTAAGAAGAGTGGGGTGGAAGGCCGGAGGCGGGTGTGTTGGTGTCACCCGGGGCACTGGTGCAGCCCACCCGGCTAGAGTCTTGAGGAAGGTCTTTGGAGTGGAGTCAGCATGAGGCAGCTGGTGCAGCAGTGAGAGGAGGCTGGCGCTGGGGGCAGGTTTTGGAACGAGGCGCGAAGTAGTTGCAGGTGGAGGGGATTTCATGTTGGCTGGAGCATTGGAAGGGAAGGAACAGAGCTTTGCGTGGAACAGACGTTACCCTGAAGATTGGCGTAAATGGGTGGGAGCAGGGGCGGGGTGGAGACTGGAGCTCCGTGGGGTCTGTTGTGCCGGGTGGAAATCCGATTTCCTGGAGGCTTTCACACAGGAGACGCGAGTTGACCCTTTACCACAGAGCAGGACTACGTTGTGTGTAAACAGTACATTTTCTCCATCTATCTGTATCTGCATGGATGTGTGTAGGCTGCTTCCAGAGTTCAGCTATTATGAGTTATGCTACTATAAACACGAGTGTGTGTGCGTCGCTGTAATCTGACAAATAGGGTAGGCCATGTGCACGGTTTCCTCTTTGCCACTCAAGACAATGCCTACAAGAGGGATAATCTGGTTACAATGAAATTTCTAGTGGTGTCTGCTTTTCAGGGATCCTCCATGCTGGTGTGCACAGTTACACCCACAGTGTGGGAGGGTCCTTTTTTTTTTTTTTCTCAGCCTCACTAGCATTTGCTGTTATTTGATTTCTTGATGATAGCCATTCTCTGGGGAGTGAGATGAAATCTCAGTGCTGTTTTGATTTGTATTTCTCTGATGACCAGAGATAAGGAACATTTTTAAAAGTATTTATTGGCCATTTGTACTTTTTGTGAAGTGTCTTCATTTCAGTGGCCCATTTTTTTTTTTTAAAATTGGGTCTTTTATTCTGGGGGAGGCCTACTGTTTTTGAATTCTTTATATATTCTAGACACCTGGTTGCCTTATTATTATTATTATTATTATTATTATTGTTATTATTATTATTTTTAGGACAGGGTCTACAGGGTCTCACTGCGTAGATCAGACTCCCAGTGGTCCACCTGTTTATAGCCTCCCAAGTGCTGGGGTTACAGGCACGCCCCACCACGCCCAGTCTCAGTTGCCATCTCAGTATGTCCCAGGGGCAAGCCGGCATGGCAGACCTGGGGATCGAACTCCCGGCCCCTGCGTCTGCCTAAGCAGTACCTTGGTTCTTAAACTTAATTTTGTTCTACAATTTCGGAAATGATGGCCACATTTGCGTTGCTGTGGGAGGGATGACTGTGGCTGTTTGTCACCCAATACAGAGTTTGCAAACAACAGAATTTTGCCAGACACTTCTGTTTGTGAACCAAATTGATAGCAGACAAAAGCATTCGTGAGCCAAGGTACCACTGTATTAGTCCTAGCTAAGAAATAGCTACAGGGCCAGGGAAATAGCTCAGCAGGCATAAGCTCATTCTGGGCAAGCGCAAGGTCCCAAGTTCGACTCCTGCTACTAAGAAAAAGGAATAGCTGGCAGTCATGTTTTCCATTCTGTGGTTTGTCTCTTTACTCTCCTAGTGGTTACTTTTGTGTGCTGAAGCTTTTGAATTTGAGCTTATCTTTTTCTATAGTTACAATTCTGCATGAAGTAGGGATGGCTTGTGACAAAGCTGTCCCTAGGTACATTTTTAAAAGGAAATGCTGAGCACATTCAGCTTTCCATGTGATGCAGTGAGCTGATGAACGCCTTGTAAGCCGCTGGAATTGCTCAGCGTTCACCACACCTTTTTTCTCTTCTGTTCCCTCCAACTCGCTTTCCCGTCTAAGAACAACAAGGTCGCGCTCTTCCGCCAGCTGCAGCAGATGACCTACAGCCTGGTTGAGTGGCGCTCCCAGATCCTGTCCGGAACGCTGCCCAAGGATGAGCTGGCGGAGCTCAAGAAGAAAGTGACAGCCAAAATCGACCATGGGAACAGGTGACGGGGCCACCTTTCGCTGAGAACTGGGAGTGTGACTGACACCTTCATGGGAGGATACTGTTTATAGCAGACTTTTAAATTGGCACCTAGCAATTGTACGTCCTTCTGGGTACGATGTCGTCTTTCGGTACAGTGTACAATGTGTGATAATTAGACCGAGGTAATTGGGACAGCCATCCCCATGACCATTTATGGGTCCTTTGTGTCGAGGTCATTTGGCGTCCTCTCCAGTAGCTGTGTGAAATACGGGATGAATTGCTGTCAGCCTTCGTCACCACGGGGTGCCATAGAACATTAGCATTCTTCTTCTCTGACTTCTCCCCAGTGTGCCCCCAAATACTCTCTGTGCCCACCTTGCCACACTGCTCTGGTTTACCCTCAGACTTTGGATCTTAGTGTTCCAAAGAACAGAGCGTCTTACTCTTTCTGTCCTAAAAAACAGTAGCTCTCATTGAGAAGCATCTCTGCCCTCTCCATGGCGCGTGTGTGGTGCTGAGTGCCTGCCCGTGTCTACTTTTAGTCTGACAGTGGTTGTTCAGTCACTGTCAGACTCATTCATCCTCATTGTGTCCCTCTTTACCTCACTGGGAGTGTGGCTTGCGGTGTGTGCAAACTCAATTCTCCGAAGCAGCCAGCATGCTTCCTGGCTGGGGGTTATGCTCCCGTCACCTCCAAAGTGTCAGTCCCTTCAGTGATCCTCTCCTTAGCTCAGGCAGATACATGCATTCCAGGTTTTATCACCTTCGGAAAATCAGAAATTTAGTCACTTCATCCCAGTTCACGGAGGCCTGGGGTTCGCACTCCAGGCCAGTGCTTTCAGGAAAACAGAGGCGGCTTCTCAGTGGTTGGGGATTCATCGGTATGGTTTCTTCTATGTGTATATAAGTTTTCCCTCCCCTTTTACGCTACTTCTCTAACTTCTGAGTGTGATCTTTCCCCCGCCCACTTCTACTCAGCTTCTCCAGCATCAGGACCATTGAGTATCACTTCCTACCTGGCCGAAGTATAGCTCGTGCCTACCCACAGATACGTCATGTTCTGCCAGCTGTACTCAAATGGCCAGAGTGAACAAAGCTTCAGGATTCAGATGGAGGCAGTGTTTAGGTGATGCCGCTGTCGCATGCTTCACGTCCTTACCACCCTGTGAAGTAGCTGCCTTGTTCCCCTTTTATGCCTCAGGACACAGCTCACAAGCACAAGTGATGTCCTTCCCAGTAGCGTTGTCAGTGGAAAGGCGTCCATTGGGATCCAGGCCTTTGGATTTCCCATCTAATTCTCCCCTCTTCAGGCAGGGAGTTCAGGCTGCTCCATCCTGAAAACTAAAGCCTAGGAACTGCACTGCCAGTCACTAGGACCAGAAGACCTTAAATTTATTTTATTTTATCTTATTCATACATATTTGCAGCACATGCATTTCACAGTCGTCTTGGGGAGTGGGTGCATGGACGTGATGCAGCTTGATTCTTCTTTTGAATTCTTTCCCTCCCTCCTCCTCTAGTTCTCTTTGCCTCCTTTTTATTCTTGTTGATACTTTCCATCTTAGTTCATGTCTGTGGCGTGGAGTGTCCATACTCACTGAGGTTATGGGGACCCTGTACCTGGAATGTCCCCCCTCAGCCTGTTGCCCCATCCCCCCCCACAACTCCACCCCTAGCCTGATGCCCTGGACCCCTTCCCATCCGCAAGGTACCTGTCTCTGTCTCCTTCTATCCTTCATTTCTCTTTTAGTTTGTATTCCACCTGGCTCCGATGAGAGATCCAATAAGTTTATCTAATTGATTTCACTCAACATTGTATTTTTTCCATGCCTGATGGCACACACCTTTAATCCCAGTACCCAGGAGGCTGAGGAGGGTCACTCACTGTAAGCTTGAGATCATCCTGGGACACATAGTTCAAGGCTAGCCTGAACTACATAGTGCAGTCCTGTCTCAAACCGTTATATTTTCTAGGTGCATTTGTTTTCCTATAAATGTCTCAAATTTGTGTCCCTTTCTAGCCAACTAGCATTCCATATATGTACAATCCACAAGTTCTTCATTGAGTCATCTGTTGATAGATAAGCAGGCTGTTTCCGGACATAGCTGATCCAAATTGTTCTGCTATACACATTGGCACGCGTGTATTGCTGAAGTTTGATGTCTTACCCTTTCGGGGGAAGATACCTAGAAGAGGGATAGCTGGGCCAGTCATATAGAATTTCTGATCTCATTTGTTTGGGAAATCTCCATTCTGATTTCTGTAGTGGTTGTGCTAGTTTACATTCGCACTAACAATGTTGTTTTTTCATACAATTTGTTGTCCATTTGTACTTCTTCTTGCAGTATCTGTTCATTTCACTTGCATGTTGTCAGACCAGGTCTTCAGTTATAGGTAGTGTAAGTTTTCAAAGTTCTTTATGTGTCTGAGATGTTAGTCCTTTGTCTGAGGAATAACTGACAAAAAGAACTTTCCGATTCTGTAAATGTACCTCTTTATTCCACTTGTTGAGTCTTTGACTATGCAGAAGCTTTTTAGATTGATATAATCCCACTTGATTTTTACCCTTGTTTCTTGTACAATTGAGGATCTGTTTAGAAAGATCCTTTCCTGTATCTGCGCAGAAGACTCACTGTGTTGTGCTTTGCTTTACTTTCTTGAGATAGGATCTTGCTATGCAATCCAGGCTGACCTTGCAGGGTCCTCCCTCTTGCCTCAGCCTCCAGAGTGCTGATGTTGCAGGCATTCACCACCATGCCCAGATGCCTGAAAACGTTCTTAAAAGCCAGCTAAGCTGGGGAGATAGCTCAGTAGAATAAGTGCTTGCCTGGCAAGCTTAAGGTCCTGAGTTCAATCCCTGGTACCAAAAAAAAAAAAAAAGAAGAAGAAGAAGAAGAAGAAAAGAAAAAAAGCCAGCTAAGATGGAACAAAGCAGTTCCCTTTGCACATAGGCTTCCTTTGTCTCTTAGGATGTTGCCCCGCTGACATTGGCCTGCAGGTCCCCCAGGCTCCGGGGCAGGATGTCAGCCTCCCATAAAAGTGGACTATGCGTCCTTTCCCATTGTGGCCCTTGGAAGCTGCTCAGGAAATGAAACTCTGTTGATGCAGTCCTGATTGCATCCCTGAGCAGCCTGCAAGGCCACCATTGAAGAGCCTGGGTGGCCCCTGGGCCTGGCTGTTGCACAAAGGGACCTACCAGATAGGATCAGTTGGTGGAGATGTCATAACCCAGGAGAGTGAGAAGTTAGGAATTCTTGCCTTGTTCCAGTAGACCCGGCATGTTTCCCCTTACCCTGGGTCTCCTTACAGTTTGGACGTCCCCACTGCCGAATAGCTGGGGCCTGGAATGCATGCCGGGCATTCACATAGCAGTATCCTGTTTCCTCACTCTCCAACTTCTTGGAACTAAGCAGATCTGTTTCTACTTTTATGTACCCATTGGGCCCGAAAGCCTGGAAGAGAGTGGTGATTCTGTGCACCACATGGCCCCCCGCTTCCCACTTAATACCTCTCATTGCAGTTAGAGCTAATATTTATTGAGTGTGTGGTGTGCAAGCAAGAGATATTGAATTACGGGCTTTGCACAGATTATTTCATTAAATTTTTATACCTGTGAAGGATAGGAAACATTTATACTGGAAGTAACTCCAGCTTTGGAAAGTTAAGGTTTAAATCCTGGTCTAAGTGACATCAGGGCAGTGGTCTGAGATGGGGTATGAGAGAATGAGGACGAGGATTTACTTCCTCGAGGGCATTTATGGCAGGCTTGGATTGAGTATGAAGTCAGGGCAAGCTCTGAAATAGCTGGGCAGTGGTCCTTCACAGCGCCTGTGCCCAGTCACAGAAAACCAAGTGGCGAAGCACTAGAAAGCAGACTTGGGTTAGACTCGGGCCAAGTTAGCCCGTCTTCGGGAGGGGCTGTGGGCAGAGTTGCGTTGCGTGTCCTTACACAGATTCTGCTGACATTCCCTTGTTTTTGAATATTGTTCATGTAGAAAGGAGGCAGCTCTTGAAGGAGAGATGGCAGTTAGCTGTTCTTTCCTTGACTTCTTCAGGAGTTGACCTTTTCACAGAGTCCGCTGGGTTCTTGGATGAGGGCTGTGTTGCAGAGTCCGCTCTAGAGGAGAGCATCACCTGGCTGTCTCTCTCTCTCTCTCTCTCTATCTCTGTCCAGAATGCTCGGGTTAGATCTGGTAGTGCGAGATGACAATGGGAACATCTTAGACCCAGATGAGACCAGCACCATCGCCCTCTTTAAGGCTCATGAAGTGGCCTCCAAAAGGATTGAGGAAAAGATCCAAGAAGAAAAGGTACGCCTTGTCCAGTTGCAGGTTTTGGCTGCTGAGATTTGATTTTTGCTTTCTTTTTGTATTTTAGGGAAGGGTCTACAGGGTGTTCAGGGTCTCACTATTAGATCGGATTAGTAGCAGTCCGCCTGTTTACAGCCTCCTAAGAGCTGGGATTACAGGTGCACTCCACCACGCCCAGTCTCACTTGCTGTCTCAGGGCGCCCCAGGGGTGTGGCCGACATGGCAAGCCCAAGCCTGGGGATCGAACCCCTGGCCCTTGCACCTGCTTGCAGGTGCTTTAATCCACTGAGCTATTTGGCTGACCCTTTGCTTTGTTTTTTAATGAGAGAAGAATTGTTGACAAGAGTTAGAAATGTTTGTGTTCTCATTTTACAAGTGAAAAAAAACTGTGTTCTCATTTTAAAAGTGAAGCATAGCAGAATGTATTGTGTTGCAGAATGAATGCAAACATAAGAAAGTGGGAAAATCAAGATGTCAGAGTATGTAAAATGCCATTATTTGTCTTTCAAAGTATACACACAAGCCAGGGATATAGCTCAGTGGCATAAACACCTGCGTGGCAAGTGCAATGTCCCAAGTTCCATCCCCAGTACCGCAAAACAAAAACAAAACTGGATCTTGTAAAATACACACACAAAAAGCAATACGTCGATCAGTGCTTGCATTGTGCAGGCTAATTCTGACATGACAGGCACGAAATGCGTCATTAGTGGACATGCCTGGGAAGGAGAATTAAGGGCAAGGGGGACTGCGTTGTGTAGTCTTGTGTATTTGGTGCTTACAATTTCCAGAACAAAATATCATAGACTGTTCAGAAGACTGTACATTAAGGAAAAACGGTAAGTATCTAGAAAGCAAAGAGAAAGTCACCCATGGGGCTGGGGAGATAACTCAGTGGTCTAAGCCCCTGCCTGATAAGCACAAGGACCCGAGTTTGATCCCCAGTACCACATGTTATGCAGCTGAGCCAGCCACTAAAACCAGGCGTGGTGGCGCACGCCCGTAATCCCAGGACTGGGGAGGCTGAGACAGGAGGATCACTACAAGTCCGAGCTGTATCATGAGACCCTGTACCCAGTGAATAAATAAAAATTATATTTTTAGAATTTTTAAAGGCAAAGAAAAAGTCACCCATATGACTGCCTCGATCAGTGGGGGTGAACCTGTGGCACACCTATTACAGTGGGCTGTTTGAATCATTGGAAGCTCTAAAAGGTTTGCCATCACTGGCCTAGATCCAGCGATGCTGATACTTTGGTTTATTTTCTTCCAGTCTTTTTGTTCTGATAAACGAAGATTTTATTTCTCTTTAGCTTCTAGCTTTCAGTTCTTCAGCACAGTCGCATCCTTTCCATGGCGTCTCCTTGTGTTTAGTCCCTTCTGCAGAACCTTGACCTGCGGACCCAGGCCATCTTCAGTGGCGCGCACACCTATGGCCTCTACGTGAACTTCAAGAACTTTGTCTGCAATATTGGGGAGGACGCAGAGCTGTTCATGGCCCTCTATGACCCAGACCAGTCCACTTTCATCAGGTCGGAGAGCCCTAGATCCCCTGCTGGTGGCCCTGCGAAGCAGTCGGGCTTCCCTACTCTATCTGAGGAGCCTTTGCTAGGATGGGGAGCGGGGCTGAGAGGAGAAGGTGAGGGTTTCCAGGCAGTAGGAAGGGAAGTGCTCCGGCTCTGAAGCTGGGACAGTGCAAGCGCGCTTCGTGCCAATCTTTAGATACTTCCACACCCACAGAACGCACAAGACTAAGAATTTAATGTTACCAGTGGGCTTTAGGTGGTGACAGTGCTGTTCAAGTAGGCGCATCAGTTAGAACCCAGGGCTGCCCTGCTGAGGATCCAAGTGGCAGGTGAAGCACCGAGTGTGTGGTGCCGCTGTGCTTTCTGATAAGCTTCACTGTGAACCCAGAACTGCTTTTAAAGAGTCTGTAGAAATTTATAAAAGACTATTAGAGATAATAATGGAGGAGTGTTTAATCCTAGGATGACGACCTGCTGAACAGCCCTGGCAACATAGGTTTACTCCTGAGAAAGTGGATAAAAGCAGTAAATTGGGGCCAGGCATGGTGGCACATGCCTAGAATCCCAGAACTCAGGAGGCTGAGGCAGGAGGATTGCTGCAAGTTTCAGGCCAGTGTAGCCTACAAAGTAAGTTCAAGGCCAGCCTGATCTGCATAGCAAGGCCCTGCCTCAAAAAGATCTTAAAAAAAGAAGTTACTCATGAATTGTTTTTGTCTAAAATAACAAATGGCATGTTTTTAGTATGATATTGTGGGTTAAAAGTATGGTTGGAATGGTCCTTAGAAAATTAAATTCTTGATTGAGTAAAGCTAAAACCTTTCATACAAAGAATTTGTGATTTGGAAAGAAGGCTGTAGAAAAGTGGTGGTGCCGGCCCATAATTCCCACGTTCTGTGAGGCTGAGGCAGGAAGGGCACAGGTTCCAGACCAGACCCTGTGTCAAAATAAGAGGGGCCCTGAATTCAGTGCCGATTCCCACATGAAAAGTAAAAGGACAGCTGTATCCCATACATTACGCAGCATCTACCCCACCCTGACCAGTGTTTGCCATGATCTGAGTGGACACTCCCTGTGGGGCGGCAGCCAGGGACACTCGTGAAGCCAGAGACCTGCCTCAACTCGAGGCACCAGGTGCGGGCTCCCCAGTCCCGCCTCCCCAGCTGCCTGCTGGATTTCCGGGAGCGTTCCTGCCCCTTCTTCTTTCCTTCCGTACTCTCAGCCTCCCTGCCCACTTGGCCTCTCATTACAAGTAATATTTTGTCTCTCTTGCCAGCGAGAACTATCTGATCCGCTGGGGCAGCAATGGGATGCCCAAGGAGATAGAGAAGCTCAATAACCTGCAAGCCGTGTTCACTGTGAGTCCCCCCGTCCGTTTCCTTGCTGTCTTTGTTACCCTGATGGGAGCCGATGCTTGTGGGGAATGTGAAGGAAGGAAGGGCCTCCTAAGCCCTGAGCGCGAGCAGCCATTTATTTACTCAGCAGAGATTCAGTGAGTGTCTCCTCCATGCCAGAGAATGACTTAGGCACGTGTGATAGATCCCTCAACAAATGGAGGGGGGGGACTATTTAGGAATAAATCAAGAAAGAAGAAGCCCTTGTTCTTGAGCAGCTTTTGTCCTGACAGGGACTAGAGGTAATAAGCAGTCGATTAATGAGTGATGGACACAGAATTTTAGCCAGTCTAAGTACTTCCAGGGGACGGCCATCATCTCGTGGGCAAGTGGTGTATTTTAAGTAGGTTGGGTGGAGATGGTGCCCAGTGGTCAGAGCATGCCCTCAGTGCGCACAGAGCCCCGGCTTTGGTCCCTGGGAGCCAGGAGAAGAAACTGCGAACTGGGGCAGGTTTCTGTGAGGTGGAGAGGATGGTGAGCATGGACTGTGCAGGGGACGTGGGGTGCTGCCGTCAGCCCAGGGTTCTGGACACGCGGGGGATGTGGGGTGCTGCTGTCAGCCCTGGGTTCTGGCCACGCCGAGGCCGGATTTAGACCTGTATCTGCGCGTCTTGTCTGGGCGGGCTGTTCCTGCATCCCGTCGTGAGCACGACCCCCTGGTGCATTCTGAAGATGGGGTGAACATTTAAATTTTTAAGAAATTTGTTATAGTAAAAGAAATGTTGCCATAATTGCCCACAACATCCCCCCTCTCTTAGAACATTCTTAGCCCACCACTCTTGCCCCTTCCCGAAGCAGGCCTGGACGTCCTCCTTCGTGAGTGTCTGCTTTACGCGGTCGTGCCTGTGTCCGTGTCCTGAAGTGATTCAGAGTGCTTATCTCTCAGGGTAACTTTTTGACTCTGAGAAAGAACCAGAAGTCACCCAGTGCCAGGTCCAGTGAATAAGATGGAAGAGGACACAGCGCGATGTGAAGGCAAAGAAGTCATCTTCTGTACTTGTACCATTTTGTAAGCGCCCCTGGGCACTGGGTGGCCCTGGGCAGCAGCATTTGCGGTATTTTTGATCAGAGCAGATGACCATGTGGGAGAGGACGTCCAGAACTAGTTCAGAAAGTGGCAAGGACCGTGTGCTTTGCATTCAAAGCAGGGAGGAAGAGTTTCTGGGGTCAGTAATACAGTGTGTCTTTCGCTGTAAAAATTTTTGAAATACTCGCCGTGTGCTTGGATCATCATGTGCATCTGCACAGGCAGCCCATTTCTTGCCCCCGAGTGCACTGTGTACGGCTCAGAACTTGGCCACGTGGGCTGTTTTCTCCCTCGGTTAGAAGTGTTCTCGGCTTCTCTTACTCCCTCACGACACTGGTCCTGGGGCCTGCAGGAGTGACTGTCCTGTTTTTCATTCCTCAGCCCATAGTTTATGTCCTTACTCTCTTCCCATCCTTAGGGTAGAAAAAACAGTGTCCAAGTTACGGTGCCTAAGGGAGTGACAGAGGGTCTGTGGTCTCCCTGGAGGGCCTCACTTCTCCTTCTGTGAAGGCCTCCCTGTTGGAACAAGCTAAGGCTGATGCCTTTTCCTGCAGTAACTGGTCTGGATCTTCAATGCCTCATATATGCAGGCGCAGAAGAGTTTCAGGAATTCTTCGTGAAACCTCCCTAGTATTTCCTTAGCTCTAAGATACTAAGTGGCTTTTTCTTCCCCTGCAGTCAAAGGCATTTATCTGTCTAAATGTCACACTTTATTTCTTTATTTTTTGGTTTTGGCGTGGTAACAGGAACCGAACTCAGGACCTTATCCTTGCCAGGCAAGCACTTATTCCACTGAGCTATCTCCCAGCCCTCTACATGTCACACTTTAAAGAGTGCACAGAGAAGGTATCGAGTTGGGCAGGCTGGTGTGTGTCTGCTAGCTAAGCACGGAGGAGGCTGAGGCAGGAGGGTTAAGACTTGGAGGCCAGCCTGGGCAAAGCCCTATCTCAAAATATCAACAGGGAAAAATGGGTACTGTATTGTTTAGTACAGTCATCTTCTGTACTTGTACCATTTTCTAACAGCTGCTGTTCACTGCCCTTCTCTCTCTGCCACACAAGTCTACACCAGTTAGGACCACTTAGTGTGCAATGTCGCATCTAGCCTTTTCAAAATGTGGGAACCACTTCTTTGGTCATTAAAGATGTGGTATCCATTACTTTGGTCATTAACCTTCAAAGGCTTCATTTATCTATGATTGCATATTATTTAATAATACCACCGTGGCACAGTTTTCATAATGGGCCACTTGGAGTCTTTGTTGCGTCTATGAATGGAAACCTTGCAGAACTCGTTGCAGAAATCTGCGGTGGACGTTACTATTGGTGGATGTTCCTGTCCTGGTGACTTGAG